AAGGGAAGAATCATTTCAAGAGGGGTGAAACTAATGTAGCTGATAATGAAAACAGCAGTTTATCTTACACATCAGAAATGCAGCTGGTTTGCTTCTGTCTGAGTACCCACTTTTTTCCCTCTTCTCACTTGTTTCCCCACCAGCCAGGCTTCCTGCCATCCCTGTGCTGAGCCTTCAGCAGCTCCCAGCCCTAAATCCTCACTGGGATCCCTCTGCTGACCCCCCAGCCCTAAATCCTCACTGTGATCCCTCTGCTGAGCCCCCAGCCCTAAATCCTCACTGGGATCCCTCTGCTGACCCCCCAGCCCCAAATCCTCACTGGGATCCCTCTGCTGACCCTCCAGCCCTAAATCCTCACTGGGATGGATCCCTCTGCTGAGCCCCCAGCCCCAAATCCTCACTGGGATCCCTCTGCTGACCCTGCAGCTGTCCCCTGCCAGCCCTGCCAGGCTGCCACAGCTCTGGGCAGCACAGCCCAGAAAAAGCCAACAGGGATGCTCCAAACAGGCTCATGCCCATCACCCTGACCCCCCCAGGACTGCCAGCTCCAGCTGCAGGACCCAGCCATGGGCACTCAGAGAGATTCCGCCCTGCTGCCTCAAAAACTGTCCCAAAAACTGCCCCACACAGCTGCTCTGTGCCCTGCACCACCATCTCACTAAGTTCTAGAGACAGGATCATTTTCTCCATGAGTCACCCTCTCCAATACCTTGAAGACAAAATGAAGCAGCCCCCAAAATGTTTTTTATTGAAATAATAGTAGCCACTCTACAGATTGAGCAGAGAAAAATTGCAATGGAGGCAGAGTGGTTTTCTAACCTTTTCTGAGGACAACCCAAACGAGGGGTAGGAGGACAGGAGTTGCACAGATAACTATCAAAAGATCCAACCACTCTTTCAGCTTCATTCCCTATGAACAGTTTGCTGAACCATTGGCTTCAATCATGAAACAGATTTCAGCTTCTCTCCACACAGCAAACTAATGCTTCAGACCCCAAAACTTCCTTGAGAATCTATTCCCCAGATAAGTCCCAGCTGTCTTGTTAAGATCCACTGATGATAAAGACTTGCACATTAGTAGGAGATAAAGCCCTTTTTTTGTTCATGTCACTTCATCCCACGGCATTGTTTGAAGGACTGAGCCTTTGATGACCATCCCTCTGTGACACACAGGATTTTAGCTCTGCCCTCACAGCAGGCAGGGGCACCACGCTGATTCCCACATTTCCTACACCAATACAAAAAGGAAAACACTTTCTCCTAAGTGAACACAAACTGGACAGTGCTTACTGCAGGATGCAGTCAGGGCCATCCTCCTCAGCCCTCCCCAGGGGTGGCCATCCCACACACGCCACCTCATCCTTCTCAGGCACAGCACTAACCCAGATGTAACCCAAATATTCCCATTCCCCCAAGGTGCAAAGTACCTACAAACATTTAAAAAGGTCAAGGCTTCACTTGCAGCTCCTTCACAAGTTCCTTAGGTCTAAGAGTAGATGGAGCTGGCTGTGCCAAGAGGTCAAAAAAATCCCCTCCGCACTGGGAAATGCAGTGTGCCTAATTTAACTACCTGTTTATTATGTGAAAATGACCATGTAAACCGAGCTGACACAAACCAAATGGGTGATGAAAATAACAGCACATTTCAAGGAGTGGAAACACAGATGGCTCGTCTGAGTCTGCAGGAAGTTACCAATCATCACTGTGTAATACCCCCTCCAGACAGAGCTGCCAGCTCTGCAGCCACAACTCGAGACCCATCCATCTAACCAGAGCCAGCCTGGACACCACTGCCTCCCCTGCACCTTGACAGCAGCCTGGAGAGGGGGTAAAAATGAAAAAATGCAATGCTGGTGAATCATGCTGCATTTGCTGATGGGGAGCCTGTCACTGAAATGAAGAAAACAACTAAGCTGGACATAGCAAATGAGGGAGCCACGTAAGAAGAGTGATTTGTTTTTTTTAATTAGAATAATGTAGTCAGACTAACATTAACATCTGCATATCCGTGCAGTAGGAACAATGGGCAAGATCAGACACAAGGATTATCAAGGACAAGAAGACATCCAGAGGAAATGCTTCAGGCAATTACACTGCAGTTAGAGGGGGCAGGTAACCAGAGAAGTCCTCAAGATACAAAAACTGTCTTGCCTCCCTACCAGGCTCTGCTCTTCTGGAAGGGATGGATCCAACCCTGCCATGCTGCAAAATCTCCTCTGTCCTGGTCCTGCTCCCCTCCCACAGCCACCCAAACATCCACATGGGAGCTGGGAGCAGCTTTTATTCCAGTCCATTGTCCACCATTTGGAAATCTGGAAGAAAAACCTGTGTTCTGTGACAAGTGTTAAAACCCATTTTGTTCTTATTTCGGCCAAAGGAAAGAATCCAATCCCAAATTACAGCAGGCAAAGCAATCAGAAGTTTGAGTGTAAAGAGGCACAGATGCAGCTCATGGGGGCTCCAACCAGAGCCACAACAGCTCAGATCCCCAGGGAGTTTACAAGAGGCTCTTTTGGCACCTTGGCTTGCCCAGCAGCTCCCCCAGCTCTTCCCTTAGGAACAAGATAAGCCCCAGGAGCCCTGGGGAGCTGTGACCCTGAGTGTGAGGGCTCAGGAGCTGTGGCAGGGCTCAGGAGCTGTGACCCTGAGTGTGAGGGCTCAGGAGCTGTGACCCTGAGGGGCAGCTCAGGAGCTGTGACCCTGAGTGTGAGGGCTCAGGAGCTGTGACCCTGAGGGGCAGCTCAGGAGCTGTGACCCTGAGTGTCAGAGCTCAGGAGCTGTGACCCTGAGGGGCAGCTCAGGAGCTGTGACCCTGAGTGTGAGGGCTCAGGAGCTGTGGTTCTGAGTGTCAGGGCTCAGGAGCTGTGACCAGGAGTGTCAGGGCTCAGGAGCTGCGACCCTGAATGGCAGCTCAGGAGCTGTGACCCTGAGTGTGAGGGCTCAGGAGCTGTGGCCCTGTGTCAGGGCTCAGGAGCTGTGACCCTGAGGGCTCAGGAGCTGTGACCCTGAGTGTCAGGACTCAGGAGCTGTGACCCTGAGTGTCAGGGCTCAGGAGCTGTGGTTCTGAGTGTCAGGGCTCAGGAGCTGTGACCCTGAGGGCTCAGGAGCTGTGGCCCTGAGTGTCAGGGCTCAGGAGCCGTCCTGCTGCTCTTGGGGCCACCTCAGCCATGGGGACCCTCCTTGTGTGCAGCCCTGGTGACACCACCACGCTCTGAAATGGGCATTTCCCCCTCCAAGCTGCTCCCAAAGGCCCCTCAGCTGCTCCAGGCACTTTGTCTGGGACTCCCCAAGGTTCTCCCAGGGTCAGGGAGGTGGCTGCCCCGACAGACACCCCCAGACACACCTCCCTGCCTGTGCCAAACACAGGGGATGGAGCCCACTCACACTCCAGGCTCCAGACAACTCCCAACAGCCTGGAAATTCAACTTCATCATCTTCTACTCAAACTGTGTGCTACTCAAAATATCTGTGAGACACAGAATGTGTCTGTGGTGCTTCACTGTGCACCCCCAACATGCCACATCCTAAAATATTTCCCAGTTTGAGGCAGCATGGCAGTCTGTGTGATCTGGTGTCCTATTTGCAAACACACACACACACGGTGGAGAACTAACATGGAATATTCTGGATTTCAGAGAAGAACTGATCAATGCAAGAGGCTCTTGTGCGTTCCTGTCTATCAGTAGTAGATGAACAAGAATCCATCAAATTCCTGGGCTGAGAACACGGTAGAGAAACTAAAAACCTTTCATTTATGAAATATAGGAGGGAAATCACAGTTCTGGATCCCTGTCACAAACACGAGCAGTGCCTGAAGCTGCAGCAGCCCAACTGTGGCACGTGGCTCTGGCCAAGCCCTTTCATACTTTGGTAACTGCTCCAGCTCAGGCTGCTGTAAATATTGTTTAGGATGGCTCTTTCCCTCTTCCCACAGAAAAGGTTCCCTGTGACACCCTTGGGACACCTGGGGCTGCAGGGGAATCAAAGCTCTCTCTGTGTCCCTCAGTTGCAGTGCACAGGCTCTGCAAGCAGAGAGATCTGTGAGATCAGGAGAGATCAGGCACTCCACTCCCAGCAAGGATCTTTTTAATTCTGCTTTTCCTGTGACATATTCTACCACTTTATATTCTCCTAGAAACTTCATTATGTTTGGTTATTAGGGAGTTACAGTTTATTTAGAATGGACTTTGACAACAATCCTAAAACTGCTACATCTGTTGAATATTCAAGCAATTACTTTTAAGAGTACAGCCTGTGAATATAGCTTTATTATGAAAATCAACTCACCTTTAGCACACAGCAATTAATAAAAAATTAAAACACTCATCAGGATAGCACAAGATTTAATTTAAACTCTATTAATAAATTAATGAAGTGAAATTAAATACTATGCATTAAATTATGTTTATAATTCCACATATTTTCATGCTTGATTTTTCACTTTATGATACTGAAAGCAGATTATTAAAGCACAATGCACTGTGGCAATGTGGACTTATCTGCTTTTCAAGTGTTCCTTCTGTAATTCCTACAAGCATCTCTGTCTCTCCCCAGCAGACATTAATGGAGTTACAATACACCAGGCATTAGCCACGCTGCTCAGATCCCACGAGAACTAAAACACACATGCATTTCAAAGGAAGAAATGCCTCTTACAGGCCTCCCAGACAATAGTTCAGCTTCTCAGGTTGGCTTGGGTTTTTTTGTGGGTTTTTTTTTTTGCTTTTACTAAAATAACACATTTAATGGAATTTCCTGTAAGGAAATTACAATTAATAAAGAACTAAATTACAAATCCATTACATTTCAGTCACTGCAGCAGCAAAACAGAGTTTTCACGAACACTCAAAAAAAAAAAAAAAAAATAAAAATCCAATAACGTAACCTCTGGTAAAGCCTGCACAAGCCCTGAAGGACAAGGCAGTTAGATCAATATTAGTTTATTTTAACTGCTGTGCAGTAGGAGGAGATGAGGCTGATCATCTGATGGGTTTTATTACCTGTTGGGGAGATGAGCCCTGGTGACAGGAGGCCGGGCACTCCGTGGGGCAGCAGCCGCGCATTCTCCTGGATCGCCACTCCCAGTGAGCGCTTGGGCGGTCGGCCTGGGCGGGAGCTGCTGGCACAAGAGCAGACATGAAAACCAGGTTTTCTTGGGGAAATGTTTGCTTCCCACACACTACATCCATTTGTATGAAATATGGGAGCTATCAGTGGTACGAGAAAATAAATGTTAGGAGTTCCTGCCTAGGACAAAAAAAAAAAAACAGGGAGAAATCGCTTGGTTAAACAGGGCAGAACTGCACGGGTGTCACAGGAGCCAGCAGTAAGGTTTTCCATTATCCAAGGATTCCATGACCTCAGAGGGGCTCAGTGGAGAGGGGTTATAGCAGTGACTGCTCCACAGTCTCTGCCATGCACCTGGAACACAGAAAATTACAGGCTGTGATGTCCTGAGGAGAGGAGGAGCTGAAACCCTGAATTCATGACCCCAAACCTTGCTCTGCACCATGGCAGGCACTGCCTCCTCCTGAAGGCAGCATTAACTCAACGCTGAGCTTTGCAAAGCTCACCACTTACCTTCACAGACTGACTGCTGGGTTTAACTACTACAGATCACACAGGTGTTAGCCCAACCTGCCAGAGAACTCACCAGTTTGTGAATTATCAATGCAGACTTTAGTCCAAAATATCCCAGGCCCCTTCACAGACTGGTTCCATTGAACTCTTGTTCTCAGCTATCACCTTCACCCCTTACATCAGTGTGTGTACATGTCCCCATCCTCCACTGCCATCATAACACAGATTTACAGGCCAAAAAAAACCATTTGAATCGACTCTTTCCCAAGCCATCTAATAAAAATGCAACCTCCTCATGTTTGGAAAAGTATTGCTGCTTCTCTTTGGTCATAACAGATTTTACTCTGTTGAATAATAGAGCTTTTGACAACATAGAGTGAAACACTGTATAAAATAACTAAGCTGCAACAATGAATGAGGTTTGAATAGAAAGCATTTCCAAAATGACTTCTAGTTCACAAAGAAATTTAAGTTAAACTTCACTCTATCAAGTTACAGTGGCAAAGCCCTCCATCAATGCACGACAAACTCTGCATTTAAATGAAGACAACTTCCAGCAGCACTCCACAGAGGTACCATTAACCTGTTCATTTTTCACACCATGCTAGTGTTATTTTGTTTTACTGTACATCAAAGTAGCACAAAATCATTTTTTTGGTTTACTATTTTATCTCTATAAAACCATTCCCCCCTCTTTTTAGCATCGGGTTTGTCCATTTTGAATTTCATTCTATTCAGTATTTTTTCCATTTTTCTTTTTGATGCTTTCAGTTGTATATCATACTATGATGGCTGTGCAGTAAAGCCTGCTACAAGAACTGCTGGGCTGTAATAATGTAAACCTAAAATAAGAGCATTTGATTTCCAGGGGAAGTTTGATGCACACATGCATTCTCTATTAAAATCACCTGCTGAAATCATCCCCTGCACAACAAAATTTCCAACAGACAGCATCAGGTTGATACGTGGGGGTTTTGAACAAACAGGAATCATTGTTCTTTTGAATTACAGGAGCCTGTAATCCACAGGCACATGTAAGTGCTTAGCTGGCACTTAACTGTCTCTGAAAAAACCCTACAAACCAGCTAAAATTAGCAGCTTTCTCCAGTGGAAGAGCTCAATCAAGAAAACAACAAAACATTTTCTTCCCAAGCTCAAATACTAACAAATCTTTAGCAGAAAAGTCCATATGTTGGTATTAATCTAAGAAAAACATTTTCAAAACGCAACAAACAGCTTTAGAAGATTTTACAAAGAGACTTTTTAGTCATGATTTGTGTTTTCAGAGGACGAGGAGGGGGGGACTGTGGAGTTCCAGCCCTGGTTCTGCAGTTTTTGCCCTGACAGGAGCTCACTGAGACTCTGAGCACAGCTTAAGGTGTTTCCACACCTCAATGGGACACCTGTGCCTGAGCTCTGACCCACATGGAAAGCCCAAGAGATGAAGGAGGAGAAGTTCACATCATAAACTTCCTCCGTTCCCTTCCAGGACCCTGGAAGTATTTATATCCTGTATTGATATCCTGTATTGATATCCTGTATTTATATCCTCCCTCACACAGGCCAGGGAAACTCCACTGGGAAAACTGAGCCCTTGGTGTCTCTGGGATTGGGGACTGACGTCTTGGTGTCCTCCTGGGGAAGGGGACTGATGGACTGAAGAAGAAGCAGCGTCCTTCTACCCCAGTGAAAGCCCCCTTAGTGAGTGTGCCTGTAAATCAGGAACTCCTAGGGCCCAGACTCAGGGCTGACAGCTGTAACCATCATAATCTGAGTGGAATTGTTCCCAGCTGAATCTGTTCAAATGAAACCCAAGTCCTTTGTCTCTAATTTTATCTCAGCTTTTCAATGAAAAGCTGGACGCTGCTCCCAGCTGACCACGGCACACCTGCAAGGACCTGTCTGGGTCTGCAGTGCTGAGTTCTGCAGTTCCCAGGGCCCTGTGTCTGCCTCCCAGCAAGGACAGGAATCCCAGAGCCCCCAGCACTGCAGCACACACCTCAAAATTCCAGCTGGGCTCCCTGGATATTCCCAGAGATGTGTCACCCGTCAGGAATCAACAGCTTCAGCTTGGGAGGACAGAACTCACAGGATGTGACAAATCTGAGTCCAAACGCTTCCACTTAGGGCCACAAACAAATTTTCTGGCATTTCTGTTTAACCATGAAACCAGGAATTTCACAGATACAGGATAGAAATGTCTGCTCAAAGTCTTGTGGTTTTTAGTAAGATATGCACAAAGGACCAGCAGATGCAAGGTTTTTATGGGGTTTATTTTCTGTTGTGAACATGCTGCTGGCACCACCAAGCCATGGAATGTCACTGCTCTGTGAGTCAACATTCCCCCCAAAATCCCCTCTTACTGTCCCACATGCTCTGGAAATCCACCAAATTTCACCTTGGCTATTTAAAACGTATGCAACCTCCACAATTCAGCCAAAATTGATAATAAAAGCACTGCACAGTAAACCCAAGGCAAGCAGAATTATCATGTGGGGAGAGTAAGACATAATTTGTGATTATGGAAGTATTAGCATATAAATGCTAATAGCATTAGCATATAAATATTAACTTTATTTAATATTATTGCTCATCTTTTTGTCACCCTGCTCTTTTACTGCATTTTCTTTTCACGTTTTCCTTTCTCTCATTCAAGAAAGTTACATATTCAAGAAGTGCAGAAAAATCTTTTCCTCATTGGTAACAAAGGAAGTATAAACAGGAACAATCCTCTTCAAACAATTTTAAATGCATTTCTTTGAGAGTCTAAAATCTCTACACAAATTTTGCACTTGCCATCAATAGATCTTTGTAAATGGAAAATGACTCAAATCTAAATTAGATATTAATTCAGTCAGAAACTTCCAGTTTGTGGGTATCTTTTAAAAACTTTTTGAAAAACAAAAATTATGGCCCCAAGTGAAGACCATGGAGGCTAAAAGACAAGTACAATATTGTTTCCCATGTATACCATCAGGAATCTTATTCTTTTTACTAAATAAAATAAATACTGATTAACATTTGATTGGCATTTCTCAAACCTAAGAACTCCTTGGGTCAGCAATTACTTGAAAGTGAGGATGACTGGAGGTTTTGGGTTTTTACCTGCATTTGCACCATGGTTATAAAGTCATTACTGTCATCCTTTCCACCCCACAAAATCACTAACTCTTGAAAGAGAAAAATGAACTAATCTGAATGTTGTTCACTTTTTAAATTTTGGTTGAAATTAAATTTTTTCAGAAAATAAATTAGATTTTGAGCAGTATATTTGACAGTTGAAATTTATACAGGAAAATGCTGAGAAATTGTTCATTAACGTCTCTTTTCTTCTTTATTTTCCACTCCTGTTGAGAGCTAATTTTATTATTTTTCCTTTCAAAGTTTTATATATTCCCTTGATATCACAAGGATTTTTAATTTGAATCAATACATGAAGTAATTTTTTATTTTTGTGACTTTCTTACAGTTACTGATCAGCTCCATCTTTTGTAACTCTATTTTATGCTCATTATAGACAACCGAATTTCACAAAATCCACAAATTCATCAATGCTTTGTAAATGTAATTAATCAGTGGAAATATGCAGCACCTCACTGCTGATGTATGATAGTGCTCTACTTTTGTGCTTTTAAATATAGGAGATTTACTAGAATCAGAAGAGAATTTGCATATTAATCAAGACAAATAAACATGTGGTGATTTAACTAGGAAACTGTTATTTGGATGACAATTTAATCAGCACAGGTTGAAAGGTCCATCACTGCAGCATCCTGTTTCTGCTAAAATATTGATTGCACTACTGATTTCAGTAATGCTTTATTTTACAGGGCACAAATAACCATGTAATTACTCTTTAATTGAATGGTAATTGCTTGCTGGCAATTATTTGTTAAGTTTTGGAGTGTAATTACTAGGTTATTTGTGTTTTGTGAAATAAAATGTTATGTATTAGTAGCCCAAAATATTTTCTGTATGAATGGTCTGCCAAAACTAGAAAAGTTAGTTATGATGGCAGGAGTTTGACAAATAACACTATAGCACTAAAACTATTATTAAAAGGATCAGATGGACCTTTGAATGCTTTCCCTTTACAAAATTAACATTAGATGTAACATTTGTAAGATAAATGGAGGAATACTGCACCACAGAAGCATGATTTCCTCTGGGGTCTAGTCCACCATTTAGCATAATTTATCCTGATGTTTTGCTTTTCATTCTCTGAGCTTCTTTAGAGGAACTGAAATAGCATCCTACCCTCTGGAGAGCAAAGAATAAACCAAGTAGAAATATATTTCAACAGTACTTCATATTTCTGCAAGTGAAGTGGATTACCAGCAGCACATTATCTTAGCAGCCTATAAACTCTGTAGCCTTGGCAGCTCGCTAGATAACAAGGGAAAGCATTATGTTTTGCAGTGTCAATGAGATATGACACTTGCTGTGATATGTTTATTCCAAGCTGTGATAGATGAGGTACCCAATACTTTGATCGTTAAGATTTGAATTTTACTTCTACACTTTTTCATTTTTGTC